GTCAAAATCTGCACCGAAATCTTGTTTTTATGCAAGATAACGCTCCAATTTACGTCAGCAGTAGCACCCAAGCTTGGATCTCTCGGCACTTATGCCCTGAACGACGAACAGCTCCGGTTTGAATTCGATGGAAAATGTAAGGGGTTCCATGGTGCGGAAGATTTACGCCCAAAACAAGCATCTCCGAGGCGCCAAGGAGTTGAAAAAAGCGATAATCGAAGCATGGCACCAAGTTGCCCAGGAGCTGACCCGGTAATTTTTTATTCGAGCCTAGACCACCGTATTATCAAAGTATTTCAAAAGAATGGTGGGTCAGCTGATATTGACTTTGCAACTTTCTCTCCTTGTTGTATGTTTGTTGTTGAATAAATTAATTTCGTTAGTGGCTGTATCATTTGGCGACGTTGGAAAAGCACCCTTTATTGAGAAATTGACCGAAACAAGTGTTCGCGTTTTCGAGCTGGAGTTTGGTGATAATGTGCGAATTGCAATTCAAATTTGACACATTTTTTACTTTGGCAGTTTTTCAGAAACATCGTATACTGCGAGTTTTTGGGAAAATCAGAGGTGGCTGTATCATCTGGCGACGCACTGTACTATACTATACTAAAATTCTTTAGACCTGGGCCGGGTCGCTAATCGATGGAAGAAGTGACGCCACAGCATTACTCTTGGCTTTTAATCCGAAAATAGTAGTTCGTGAACTTGGTGGTGCGTTCATAGTGGGAAAAGTAGCTGATTTCGTGGACGACGAACAGGGAACTGTGAAGCTAAAAAGAGGTTCCATTATCGTGGCGACTGTATTCCCACGTTCTCAGGTAACTACTACATTTACTTCTTCTATGCATTTACATCCACTTGTACTCACCTGCAAAACAAGGAATAGGGGTGGTCGGACTCCAGGCTATGCTATCTAAACAGATTTAATTTTATTTGTTTGTTTATTTATTTATTACACGTCAAGCACGTGTGGTTGCCAAATGGCAACAGAAACAGAATCACAACAAGATAAACACAGCATAATATAATCAAGAAATATGAGAAATATGAGCTTCATTGGAGAACTTTACTAAGATGGGCTTTGAGGGCATTTGGGGGGGGGATTCAAGCTTAAGTGATTGTACACTGATCCAACGCGACTTACAA